GGGAAGGAGCTGCCGCCAGGGTCACCCTTGTGTGCGTGCATGTGTGGTGTCCTCTCAGGTGCAGGGGCAGGAATCCACGCTGGAGGCCCTGCGTGCGGAGGCGAGCCAGCAGAGGCGCCAGGAAGAGGCGTGGCAGCGGGAGCGGCAGCAGGTCCAGGAGCGGGAGAGCCGGCTGGCGCGGGAGCAGCAGGAGTTGCAGCACCAGCTGGAAAGCTGTCGGTGCAGGGTGAGCTGAGAGGCTGGTTGGCCAGCCGGCCGGCAGGCAGGCAGGCAGGGCGGCCGAGGGGAGGGAAGGCGAGGGCCCGAGTCCTCACAGAGAGGCTGCACTGCCCACGTCTTCTCTCCAGTTACAGGAAGAGGAGCGGAAAAGTCACAGCCTGCAGACGTCCCTGGCGGAGCGGGAAGCGGAGAACCGAGCCCTGCAGGAGCAACGGAAGCAGCACGCCCAGGAGCTGGAGGCCCTGCGGGCCAACCTGGGGCAGGCCCAGCGGCAGCTGCAGCAGCAGACAGCCCAGGTGAGCCCAACGAATGAACGAACGAATGAACGAAACCCTCTCCCGGGCCTTTCGCCTGCTGGGCTGCGGAGTGAGCCCAGCGCCAGTGTGGTCCCTTCCCCCACAGGTGCTGCAGCAGGAGGCAGACGCGTCCCAGCTGCGCAGCGAGCTCCGGGCAGTCCAGGAAAGAGAGCACCAGAGCCAGCAGACCCTCTCGGCCGCCGAGGCCATCGCCCGGCGGCTCCAGGAAGAGGTGGCCTCCTGCCAGGCCAGCCAGAGGGAAGCCCTGGGGAAGGTAGGGCCCAGCTGCGTGCCAGGCGGCTTGGGTGGGTGAGGTGGAGGATCCCCCGCACCGCCGGCATGACTTCTGACTTCCCTCTCATGTCTTGGTAGCTGGAGCAGAAGACGCAGGAGACATCCTGCCTGCAGGCCGAGCTGCGGCTCACCCAGCGCACGGTGGCCCGCCTGGAGGAAGAGCTGGCCGGGGCCCAGGAGCAGGAGCGGCAGCTGGTGGCCCTGCAGAGGGAGAGGAAGCAGGAGGTAAGTCTTCCCGGCCGGGCTTGTAGCTGGCCGACTTGGCAAAGCCCCGCCCGGCCTCATGGGCCTCTCTCTCTCTCGACAGGCCTGTGCCACAAAGGAGAGGCTGAGCCACCTCAGTGGCCAAGCGTGGCACTGGCAGAAGGAGCACCAGGCTGCCAAGCTGGCCCTGGCAGAGAAAGAGGAGGAGCTGGTGGTGATGAAGGTGGAGCTGGCTTCCCTCGAAGAAAAAGGCCACCGCTTGACAGAGGAGGTGGGTGCGCGGGGGAAGCTGGTGCCGGGTGCAGGCGGGTCGTGCCCTCCTCGGGCAGCCGCTGACGCCGTTCCTTCCCTGGGACCTTCTTTTGTAGAGGGAAGAGCTGCAGAATGAAGTCAACCTTCTCCGGCAGAAATTCATTGCCTCCAGCCAAGAGGTGGGTGCCTTCTTGGCCGTGACGGGCGCACCGGTTGCCAGGGCTGTCGCTTCCTTTTTTGTCTTGGCCACGTTGGCTAGTGCTGAGCCGCCATCACCCCAGGGCCGCCCCAGGGCACCTGAAGGGCACGTGGCAGAAGCTCCACTTGACCCCAGATCTTACTGGCCAGATGTCCTTTCAGACCACCTCCCGGGGAGGCCTAAAGGAGAGCGGCTTCTCTGGGCCCTTTCCCTCCTGCTTCCGGCAACCTCTGGCGTCCACCTGACTGTGACATGGCTGTTGTGCGGGTGCTCATTTTCTGGCCCCGTCGGAGGCATTCAGACGGAGCCCCCCACGAAGGTCGTGAACTTGGAAACATGAAGAGCGGTCTTGGGGTGACCTCCTCCGAGGTCTAGGAGGCTCAAGAACCTCGTCTTCCGTCCCGGGCTAGCTGAGCCCAGCTCTCTTTCCCTTCCGAAATCCAACCAGCTTGATGGGTATCCAGGATGCTTCCTCCCTCCAGGCCACCCCAGGGTGCCCTGGCTGGACTGACCTCCCCCCACCCCCTCTGGCCAGGTGGAATCCCTGCAGACGTCCCTGGAGGCGGCCCGGGATGACAGCTATCGGCTGCAACACGAGAGCGAGTTGGTGGTTGCAAACGTCAGCCAGTGGGTGAAGGAGCAAAAGTGAGTAGCAAGCAGCGACAGCTTCTTGTAGCCATTCTGGGCTACCGTGGGCATTGTCCCAAGCCTCTGGCCGGAGCAATGTTGGGCCGGGTGGGAGGTCCCCAGCCATTTGGAGGCTCTTCCTGGGTTTCGAAAGGGAAGAGCCGAAGCCTTTTTCTTGTCACCTTACCTGATCCTTTCCTTGCAGGCAGGTGAACGAAAAGTTGGGCCACAAGATTCGAGACCAGATCAAGCAGGTTGCTCAGCTGACGGGCGAGCGGGAGTAAGTAAGGCAGCCGGGCCCCGGGGTGGATCTCTGTGGGGAGCCCGCTGTGGGGTGCACCCTCTCCCCACTCCCAAAGGCTGGAAATCTTGCTGGCTCCCACATTTCTGTTGGAAAAGCAGTGGTACAGTTCCCACATGCAGACACATAGGAAGTAGCTGGTGGTTCTTTCCACGCCCAGGAATTACCCTGTGAAGGCAGAGACCCCAAGCCTAGCATCTGTTCCTCCTCCGCTAAATGCAGGGCCTTCTCTTCCTCACAGCCACCTCCATGGACTGGTGGAGCGACTCCAGCAAGAGAACAAACAACTGAAAAACGAAGTGGATGAGCGGCGTACTGAGTGTGAGCGCCTCAAGGTGAGCCCACCGAGATTTGTCCCTCCAGGGAACTCACTGGCCTGTGGCCTGAGCAGAGAGCGGGCTTTCTTTCCTGTCAAAGGGCAGAATCGTCACGCCCTTCACCCCACGGGGCCTTGGCCCTCCCTGAATGGTGGCCGCCTTCCTCCACTTTAGACTGCTGGGCTGTCTTGACTGGGTTTGGAGACACCCACCCATGCTGGCCTGGGGGCAGCAACTCTCTCGGCCCGCTGACTGCAGTGCGGTGACAAGAAAGATGCCCCATCATACACGGCTTCTTGCTGTAAAAACAATTGAGGCCTCACTATGTGCAGGATCTGCTGCTTCGGGCAAGCTGGAAGTCAGCAGGAGGAGGAGGAGGAGGGAGAACTCAGGGCAGGAGTGCGGCCACCCACTGGCGCCGAGGAACCGAGACACCTTCCTCAGCAGCCCAGGGACCGCGTAATCCACTCAAGTCTCCAAACAAAGGAGGCGGCCATGGCAAAAAGCTGCCAGTGTTTGCCTTGGAGACAGACAGACGTGACCGACCCTTCCCTAGAGATTGAATGGCTCTGCCAGAGAACTTTTTAATTAACTGTTTTGCTGCAACACAGAGTTACATCACAGCAGCGCAGGGGAGTGGGGGCATCAGCCCACAATGGAGGTCAAAATATGCCGTTAGAAGCCAAGCTGGGAAAGCCACGGGCGATGGGCGGGAGGGCAACCCAGTCCCCTAGCTATCTTGTTGTAGCCACCGGGCATCTGCACCAGGTAAACCAGCGCCCTGGCACAGAGGCCATCCCTCCCACCCCTGCCTTTCGTTACAGGCTCTCTGCAGCAGTGACTCAGACCCTCCGTGCTCTACAGGGCAACCGCTCTGGCCTACGCTCCCGGCGGATGAGTAAGTGCTTCCCGACCAGTTCCCCAACCCTCCTTGATTGGAGCTAGAGGAGAGGGATGGTGTTGGTGTCTCTAGGGGAGGGTCCTGCTGAAGAGGCCACCCTCCCTGCCTCTTGGGGGGGGGGCTAGCAGTGTTTTCCTAAGTGCTCTCAGGCAGGGCCCTTGGGCTGCCCAAGAGGCAGGAGGGAACTTAATGTCCAAGCTCTGCTCCAGACAGAAAGATGTTAAGTTTGAAAAGCAGGCTTTTCCCCCATCTTATTTTTGACAGCACTCTGCAGTTTGCTCAGAGACGAAGCCAAAGGGGGGCTACCAAATGGCATCACTCTTAGCGAGTCCAGCAGGACCGGCCTTCCCTCCGTCCTCCACGAGGGAACCCGAAGCTCCAGGTACTGCCCAGAGAGCAATGGCTGAGGGCACAGGATGGCGTCCAGATCCGTGTCCAGATCCAGAAGATATTTTGAGACGGGACCTGCAGACCAGACTGTAATCATGTGACTTCTGCAAAGGAGGGGGAAACGCGTGTGCAGATACGGAGCCAATAAAACGGGAAGTGTGCGATCACTCCCCAAGGAAAAGAACCCAAGCAAGGCCCGTTCCTTCTGTGGGCGTGGAGTTGGGTAAGGGGTAGAGGGGCGGGTGGTGGTGGTGGAAGTCACCTTGCAGGGGGTGCCGTCTGAGAGGGAGGGCGGCAGGCGTGAAACTCTCTCCCGTCAGAGCCTGCCCTCAACCCCCCCTCCCTTTACCCACAACTGTTACACCCCCAAACCCTCTGGCATGGAAGGGGCACAGCCCAACTAAATGGCTGAAAGCAACACAGTCAGGAAGCAGCAACATTTTTATAAACAATAAAATTATTTCTCAGTGTCCATCCAAGGTGGGCCTTGCCCAATTCATTGAGCACAGCAGGGTCCTATGTACAGAGCTGAGTGGTGGCAGCGGCAACAGCTACAGGCCGAAGCGAGCTGGTGTATGGCGAGGGGTGGCCGGCTGGCCTTGCTCTTTACGCCCCGGGGTGTAGATCTTTGTGGACCTGCAGGGAGGGAGGAAGACTGAGGGTCGCGCCCGCTTGTTCAAGGCAAGGCCCGCCCTCCCCCACTCCGCGCAGGAGGCGGCCCTACCTGACGCTGCCCACTGGGTTGCGGCGCTCTTGCTCCTCACAGCGTGCACGCAGCTGCTCCTCTGCCAGAGCCATCTCCTCTTCCATGGCCGAGGCCTCCTGCTTGGCCCGTCGACGACTCTCCTGAGGGCAGAGCAAACAGCCACCGTGAGCCCATTCCACCCAGACCCACGGAGCCGAAGGAGGCAGAAAGTCCTTTTTTAAAAAAAACGGCCCGAGACTTCCTCTATTCTACAGAGAAAGGCCTCCACCACTGGGCAGGCATTTAGTGTTAGCCCCCAACCCACCCCACTGAAGTCTCCCCTCTGGGCTCATAGCAGAAGGCTAGCTCCAACCCCCCCCCCAAAACACCCACTCCTGGTCCTGGAGAAAGCAAACCTCACGACCAGATTGGCAGCCTGTCGAGAAAAGCCATACCAAGGGTGGGTGGTTCAGTGCGGAAGGGCAAGGGGTGGTGGTGTCCTGCTCTCATTCCTCCCAGCTTACCTGACGAGACTTGCCCGCGTGTTTGATGCTGTAGAACATGGGCCCCAATTCAGCCAGCCACTCGCCATCCACCGCCGTGACACACTGCATGTATTCCTGTAGGGAGATGATAAACGGGGGTGGTAACAGCAGATGCCAGAGTGGGGTAGGTGGGGTGGGAGTTGACATCTCCAATAAATGGGAGCAAATCCAGGATCCATGGGGGGGGCGCAGAGGGTCACACACACTCACCTTCGTGGTCATGACCAGCTCATGGTACACAATGTAGTCCGGGGTGTAGCCCATTCCAAAGAGCGAGCTCGTGGGATGAAGATGGCAGGGCATCCCCGTCCGGATGTTCACATACTCTCCAATGCCCTGCAGCAGGAAGAGGGACTGAGTCAGAGCAAGGTTTCCAGCCAGGGCAAAAGGCTGGCAGGAATTCACTCCCCAAATACCTCAGAAGAACAGAAAGACGCAGACAGGAAAGACCAACATGGCCCAGGGACAAGGAGTGCTTCCGATCGTCATCAAGGAGAGTTTCTTACCTAGGAAACATCTCGGTTCTTTCCTGAGAAAAAGTCCTCCCTTCCCCCCCCCCCACTGGGGTCCCTTCCTGCTCTGCAGTTGTAAGACTGACCTATAACTTAATCTAGGCTAGAATGAGGAATAGCCCCTGTGTGGGGTGGGAAAAGGGACAGGCACAGGTCTCCAGGCCACGAGTACTCGCATCCAGCCATACACAGACTCGTATTCAGAACTACGGAAGCAGGAAAAGGGACTGGCTCCGGATCTGGCCCAGAAAGGTTTTATCCTGTCCACTCTACAAACAGTTCTTGCTGAGCCCACAGCAGAGGGCACCCACTCCCCTGAATTGACAGTAGAGATGGGGGGAACCTGAGGGCACAAAATGCCCAGCAAAGAGTAGACACCCCCCACCCTGCCTTGGCAAGAGACAGTACACATTCTACCAAACCCTGTTACTCACCCTCTCTATTTCACACATGCACACACAGAGACAGACAGACATCACAGACATAGCTGCTGTCCCTCACCTTCAGTTTGGCAGCCTGGTGAAAGTAAGCGGCGCAGATGCATTTGCGAACCACGTCCCAGTCGGTGCCGCAGGAGGCCAAGCTCATGCGCTGCTGCACCATGATGTCCTTGAGCTGGGCTCGCACCTCCCGCACCTGAAAGGGCAGAGAGAATGGTCAGGATCTGGGGCTCTGCCCACATCATTCTCCGTGGCCAAGATGGGGGGGGGGATCCCAGCAGGCACACCTTGCGCATGGCCTTGGCGTGGATGAAGTGCTCGCTGCACCACAGCGTGGAGTAGTTGTTGCTCTTCCACTGGAGGTACACGTTCAGGTATGTCAGGTGGTCGCTCTCCGGGACAGCAAACTTCTCTCGCACCTGGTCGCTCTCCTCCTCCCGGCCCTGGGGGCAAGAGGCAGCGAGAGTGTTAGGCGAGGAGGAGAAGGAGGAGGGAACAGGCGAGGAGGCCTGCAAAGGTTCCCAAAACTCCCCACCGCCTTATGCGTTTGGCTCAGATGCACCTTGGGCCGGTAGAAGATGGCCGGGACGGAGAGCATGGAGACAATGAGCAGGATCTCGGAGCTGCAGCCCATGTCGCAGGAGACGATCAGCATCTTGGAGAGGGCAGGATCAAGGGGAAACTCCACCATCAGGCGCCCAGTTGAGGTCAGCCCACCTGAAGGCAAGGCAAGGAGAGGCCAAGGCCATGAGAGGCAGCGGTCCCCATCCCCTGGACAACCTCCCCCAAGGGAAATCCCAGCCCCGCTCTCCTGCACGCGTCTCCCCACCTGTGTTGTCTAGAGCCCCGAGGATCCACAGCTGGTACATGGAGTTGAGCATGTTGTCCTCGGGAGGCGGATCCATGAAGTGGAACTGCAGCAGGTCCTGCACCCCCAAAGACTTGAGCAACAGAACCACGTTGGCCAGGTTGGTTCTCTGGATCTCTGGGACGGTGGTCGTCAGCAGCTCGTTCTTGTAGGCGCTCTGGGTGTACAGCCTAAAGCCCAGAGGGAGGAGATGAGGACGATGCAATGCTAAAAAACCCAACGTCGCTCCTGTTCCTGTTACTAGGAACTAGAAAGGGGCGCCCAAAGCCCCTAAACCATCCCACCCACTTGCCTCAACACCTCCCCCAACTTGCTCCTAGACTTTTAGTGGTGAAAGACAGACATTCCGTGGTGGTGGGGGAGGGGAGGGGGTCTCTTCCTACCTGAAACACTGACCTGGGCCCGTCCTTCCGGCTCGGCCTGCCCGTTGGTTGGCGTTGGCCTGGCTGATGGGGTAGATCTGGAGGGCGTCCATGCCGATCCGAGGGTTGAAGACCTGCAGCGAAAGAGGCCGAGTGAGCCTGGGAACCTGGCCGAGCACCCGGCTGCTCCCACACCCTTCTTCCCAACAAAGCGCATTACCTTCAGTTTGCAATAGCCAGAATCAATCACAAACATGATCCCATCGACCGTCAACGAGGTCTCTGCAATGTTGGTGGCCACAATGCATTTCCGGACTCCGTCGGGGGCCTGCCGGGAAGGAAAAGGTCAAAGGGCAGGTGCCCACTTTGGGTCCCCTCTCACTTGCTCACACCCCCCCAACCTCCCTGAGCCAGAAATAAGACGTGTCTCCTCAAATGCTACTATATTTCTCCCAAATTCAAGAGGCTCTCCGCTTGGACTCTGCTGATTTCTGCTTTGCCAGACTGTCCGTGGGGGTTATTCACCTTCATAAACTAGCTCAACAGGCTGAGTGCTGCTGCCTTCACCTCCCAGAAGAAGCTTTTAGGCCAGGCCTGTGACTGCAGCCCTGGGATCGCTGCTCACCTGCAGCTCCAGCCCCTTGAGCCACCATCCCCAACACAGTCTCCATGCCAAGTCCTTGTGGGCTGCCGCCATGCTTTGGATGTCAGCTGCCAATGTCACACCCCACTGTGGTTTGCTCTAGCTGCACTTTGCCGATCAGATGCTCAGAACAACTAACCGCCTAGCACTCCAACCAGCCTGCCTCTCTACTGGCCACCAATGCAATTTATAATTCCAAGAGTCCAATGGTGCCAATGCAGAACAAAGCTCTCTGCTTTGCAGGCAGCCACCTCCACCACGAAGGAAACATCCCCGCTTCCCAAGAGTGTCTTCCCAAATTGACCTCCCTAGAATGTTACAAGGTCAACCCACCAGGCTTTTAGCCCCCTAGCTACTCGCCCCAGGGAAGGCGGTGGCTCTGTACCTTCTGGAAAATCTTCGCCTGCAGGTCGGAGGGCAACTGGGAGTAGATGGGCAGAACCGCCAGGGCGGGAGCGTTCTCCAGCTCTTCCAGGTGCTCCACAATCTGCTCTGAGGTGACCTGAAACGGGGGAGGAAGAGGGGTGAGTACTTGCTGTCGTGGTGGTGGTGGGGAGGACAGAGCTGCAGGGTGAGGGGCTCTCCCAGAAAAGGTTCACCTCAATGTCCTCCTGGCCTGGCATGAAGATCAGGATGTCCCCCGGGGCGCTCGAAAGGTGCACCTGCAGGGCCTGCTTGACAGCTGCCTCCACATAGTCCTCCTGCGGGGTCTGAAAGGAGGAGAGGAAGGGCTGAGACAAGGGCCCAGCGGCAGCCCCACGCCTGCTCACCAGGAGCCCCAAGGCAGAGAGGCGCACCTGCCTTTCCCCTCTGGCCTCCCTCTTACCTTACTGAAGAGGATGTCTACAGGGAAGGTACGGCCCGGGATGTGAAATATGGGCACGTTCCCAAAAAAAGCAGCAAACTTTTCTGCATCCATAGTGGCTGAAGTCACAATCAGCTTCAGGTCTGAGCGTCGGGCCACCACCTACAGCAATATGAGAACACCATGGTCACGGAAAGATAGGGGACCCGCAAACAAGCAGCAGTGGCTCCATGGGGGACAGAACCCTTCTACTGAGATTCTTCCTGAAGCTGTCTCGTGTAAAAAACACACTCCTCAAGCAAGAAATTAGAAAAAAGACTTAAAGAGTTAGGACAGTTACAAAGCAACTAGAAATATCATCAGATGTAATGATATGTTGCTGAAGATAAAAGATCAAAATAATCTATGCTGTGATGTTGCTGATAAGGACAAGGAAGCAAGCCAATTCGTTTGAAAAGAGGTGTTGGAAGAGGGTTTTATGGACATAATGGAACACCAGAAAGACAAATAAGTAGATTTTCATTCAATTCAAGCCTGAACTTTCACTAGAAGTTTAATGACTAAACTGAGTCTATCATTCTGCAGATGTGTCACCGAAGACAAGATTCACTGGAAAGGACAATTATCTAGCAAAAGTGGAAGGGAGGAGGAAAAGATCTAACACAAGATGGGTTGGCTCAGTAAAGGAAGCCATAACCTTTAGCCGGCAAGACCTGGACAGGACTTTCTTAATGACAGGGCCTTTCCTGCAGCAAAACAACCTGCCAGCTACTAGGACCAGTGGTTTTCTATGAACCACCTTCTCTTTGCAGTGAAGGAACTCTTCCCCACCCCACGAGCTGAGGCAAGCAGCTTAGAATTCTAGAAAAAACCCCCCGCCCCCGGTTTCAAGAGATGTCTCATGGGGAGGCAAACAAGGAACTGACACCCAAGGGAATCTGACCCCTGGGCTCAGCGAAGGAAGCACTGACCTCACGCAGGAGGCCAAACAAGACGTCGGTGTTGAGGGACCGCTCGTGGGCCTCGTCCATGATGATGGCGCTGTAATGGTCGAGATCAGCTTCACGCAAGGATTCACGCAGCAAAATCCCGTCTGTCATGTACTTGATCACAGTGTTCTCTGAAGTGCAGTCCTCGAAGCGGATGGCATAGCCCACCTGGTGGATGGCGGGGGTGGAAAGAGGCAGCAGTCAAGGCTTAACTACAGGAGCCTGTGGCCGGACTTCTGTTCGGAAAAGCACCAGCACTCAGTGGTAACCACGCCGGCGGCTCCCTTGCCCTTGAGCAGGCAGGCTGTCCCTTGTGCAACCGACCAAGCCTGCAGGCAGCTGGTTGCAAGACGGACATCCCACAGGCGAGGAGGAGAACAACGTCTTTAGCTGTGATCACCACTGAGCGTACAGCTTTTCCAAAGAGGATTCTGGCCTGTAGTCTTCAAATACAAGACAGCCATCAGGTAAAGAAAAAGGAACACTTAGAAGGCCAATGTTCAGAAGGTGCCCAGGCGCTGAGTCCCACTAAACTTTCCCACTCTTTGATCAGTCTCACGTCCCACATCTCAGCTAGTCTGGAGGCAGACACCATACACAGAAGCGCCCGAGTCTGAAAGCACAATAAACTCAGCCAGACGTTGCCACTGCAATGTCCCATCACTCCTTTCATCAGCCTCAGACTGTGTATCAACCAACCTTTGAGGAAGTGCAGTTTCCCACACTCTCTGTCCAGTGGCCAGTAAATGGATCATATTACAAGGTGATTTCCAGGTTTGGCAAACAAACCCTTTCCTTTAACATGCCAGTTTGCTGTTTGCAAAGCCTTTCAGCTATTTTATTTTTAATCACCAGCCCAAAATTACAACTGACAAGCCTTTCTCTAATCCCGATTTACAATTTCATTATGCAACTTGTGTTCTCCTTTCTTCTTAGCTGCAGCAAGTATCTTCTAAACATCCCAAACGCCTTTCCCTGGGTTTTTATCATAAATCAAGCATGCATGACGTCCAGCAAGCCGGCCCCTTCTTACCTGCAGTTCCCACGGGAACCAAACAGCCCCCATGTGCGTATCTTGTCCACCCTCCTCTCCCATCATCCAGCTGTGGCCTTCACCGTGGAGGTGCCCCCCAATTCCCAGCTTTCCTCACCTCCTCCCCGAGGCTCACGCTCATCTCTTCACTGACACGCTTTGCGACCGACATGGCAGCCACTCGGCGGGGCTGCGTACAGCCGATCATGCCGTAGTCCGTGTAGCCATCCTCGTGAAGGTACTGCGTCAGCTGTGTGGTTTTGCCGCTACCCGTCTCTCCTACCACAATCACAATACTGTTATCCCTGTAAAAACAGAAGGATGTAAACACAGAGAGGGAAGAAACCCATCACTGATACCTCTACACACACGGCATTTTCTATTGCAAGAAACAAGGGTTTTTATTATCTCCTAGAGGCTTTATAAAATGCACATTTTGATATATTGCTCTGTTTTATATTGAATAACATCCTTGTTCATTGTCAAAGTTACAATTTTACTGTATTCTGTTACATTTAGCAACAGAGATGGTTCTTTAAATACACCAGATACTTAATTGCCAAACAGTTAAAAATCTGATCGTGGATTAGAAAAGTATGCCTCTCAAAATAGGAGACTTACAGCATTCAGGAAAAGGCACATTTATCAGAGAATCCTGAGGCACAAACCAGCTCACTTCAGTTCCGTTCCTTTAAACAAAAACATCAAGCCACTTCTTGCCTAGCCCACATGGATCCTGCTCTATATCCCGTCCGCCCAGAGGAGTCACACACCAGGGCCGGTGGGCAAAGGGGTGGGGGGTGGGGGACTGGCTTACCGAATAACCGTCAAAAGCTCCTGCTGTACAGCAAAGATGGGCAAGTACTGCCTCTGCTCCACAAGGGACTTCTTCTTAGCAAACTCACTGCTGGCTTCGCTCTTCTCTTTCATGTGATCAGCAAACTTCTGCTCTGTCCTGAGAGATTCAGAACGTCATGGCTCTTCCCAGAACTTCTCCTCCCTCGGGCCGTCCATGCTGTCAGCCACCCCCGCTTCCCCCTGCCTCCCTCCGTAGCACGTTCATCCCCTACCGGTAATCGACAGTGCCGTCCTCCGCCAAGACAGGGTTGGACCCTTCGTCTTCCTCCTTCTTGATACCCATGATATTGCCCAGTTTGGTGCCTGCCAGCTCCCAGTGCTTGTGCTGGGCCTGAAAATGCAGCAGGAATCACACACACATGAAAGCGAGTCAGACTTTCATCTGGCAGGAACGTGCCTTTCGACTTCCCTCTCCCCTCTCAGTTCAACCAACAGAAGGGAGTTTCAAAATGAACTGCACCCGCCTAGTATGCGGAGCTGAAGCGACAGCAACCTCTCTTCCTGACGAACCCACCTTCTGCCCTTCTCCGTCGTTATACACAGAAGCGCCTGAGTTCTGCCACTCCTCACACCTTCTCTATAAATTACAGCTTTCTCCTAGGTCCTGACGAACCCACCTTCTGCCCTTCTCCATCGTTATACACAGAAGCTCCCGAGTTCTGCCACTCCTCACACCTCTATAAATTACAGCTTTCTCCAGGCCAGTGGTTCCCAACCTTGGGTGCCCAGATGTTCTTGGACTACAACTCCCATAAATCCTGGCCAGCACAGCGAGCGGTGAAGGCTTCTGGGAACTTTATTCCAAGAACATCCGGGGACCCCAAGGGTTGGAAACCAATGACCTCAACAGCCCAGGAAGCACGCAGCCCACCAGCATACAATCCCAACCCGAAAGGGCAGCTGCAGCAGAGGCTCCACGTTGAGATTTTGATGTGGAAATGTGTTAATGTTGTACAGTTAAATGTAAAACGGCTGATTTTACCTGAGACACTGTACGGATTGTATTCAGGTGTGGGTCTCAAATATTAAGACTTAATGCTGTACAGCTGTGGTACATGATGAAACTTGATGTAACAGAAAATGAAGTAATGTATTTTCTGATTGGTCGCAGAACTGTACATAAGTCATGTGCAAAACGAACGTCTTTATCTGAAGTCAGATCACTTTTTCCTATGTTGTGTGTTGCTTCATGTCATATCAGGCTGCCACAGAAATGTCTATTCTCTATGTATATATGTCAATAAAACTAAGTTGCTGATTTTATGCTCTCAGTGTCATAGTGTCTTAAGTATCTGCTAACCGATTATCTCCTTACTCGGCTGACGTTATGAGAAGACACGTTATAATCAAAATCCTCCACACTCCGCACGTACCTTCTTCCGCTCTTTCTGTTCCCGATGCTTGCGTACTAACTGACTGCCCTTGCGGGCAATGATTGCAAGATCCGAAGTGGCATCCTTGACGGGGATCACTGGCTCAGGCTGAAAGCAAGTAGGGAAAGTCAGGTGTGAGACAAGAGAAGGGGTGCCCTAGTTCCCACATCCACGCAGGACTCTGGCTTTTCACCTGTTTGGTGAAGACAATACGGCCGTCTAGGAACGGAGGCACCAGGTTGTGAACCAGGAGGTGGACCTTGGCTGCGTTGTCCTCCTCAAAGTCCTCATCCACCTCCAGCCGGTGCACCACGCCGCTGGTCAGCATGCGGTTGGTCTCCCACCTCTCGTTATCCTGCCGAGCACGAGAGAATTAAAGGTAAGTCAAGGGCCAGAAACCAGGGCTGCTTGGGAAGGATGGTTGCAAGGGAGCATCCCAGCAGCAGCAGAACAGCACATGGGCACTGCCACAAGTGGCTGCCGCCCGACTTTCTTCAGCAACGCCAGCATGCGCCCACCTCGTTAATTTGCCTGCGCTGAGCCGAGATGCGCTTCTGCTTTTGCTTCTGCAGGTGCTGCTCCCGCTTCCTGATGTACTCCTCGGAGGAAGAAGCCAAAGGGTTGTGGAACTCGTCGTAGCCCTCGTCCATCATGTACCAGTCCCGATCTGCTTGCTGGAGAAGAATTGGGGGAGGGCAGGGAGAAAAGAGATCGCGTTAGCAAAACAGTAAAATACCTGCCCTTAGATAGAAACAATCCAGATTTTTATAAAGGGCTGCAGAAGATGAATTAGCTTTTCAGGAGGTGGGAAAAAAGGGCAAAGAACCTGACTAAGTTGATGCTCACAGAAATCGGGGAATGCCAATGGGGCATCAGCAAGAGGCACCAAGACAGGAAACATATCTGAAATCCCAGGAAACCCTTTCCTGCCAAACTCAGATATTAGTACCATGCTTCTGATGTAACAGCACCCGAAGTCTCTGAAACCTAAAAGCCCAAAGACCTGAAAAACGTGCCGATTTGCACATCCATCCCAAGAAAAGAACAGGGTTTCTTTTCAAAAAAAGGAGATTTGAAACACAGACAAAACCATGTGCCAAAATCATCCCACAGGAAGCACAAGGAGCATGACACTTCGAACTGGGGATAACTTGAGCTGGGGATAATTTCTGCATGCCGATATTCTCACCTTCTTTCAAAGTAACTTTTCAAGCCCTGCCACAATGATGACTCAGTTCAACCCTGCTGGGCTTGAAGACATTGCCTGCTAAGAACTTAAAAGAAGGCAACAGCCCGACCACGAGACCTGCCCACTTTGGGCTGTGTATAGTTCCAAGCAAATTCTGTGTAACTCTGATCCTCACAGCCGAGCTGGCTGATCTCCTTCCACCGGCACAAGTGTCAATTAAGCAAGAAAGAAGCTACTCCTTTACGATCTCTTCTGAAGAACCAAGAAGGGGACCCAAGGCAGGGGGCAGGGAATTACACTGACCCGCTGGTCATCCTCCCACTGCTGCCGCTCTTCCTCTGTTTCGAAGGCAATTCCATCTTCTCCATCCTCACGTTTCCCTAAAAACAAAAGCTTTATTTAGAAACCAATCCTGGCTCAAAACCACAAGGAAGAGTCATCACCCAGCCCTTTCCAGTCTTTACCTCTGCCTCTGGAAAGCCAGGGGGTGGCCCCCAAGTGCTTCTGATTATCAGCCCAGTCATTGTACTTGTACGAAGGGGTGGGCAGTGGGGTGTCCTCAGGATACTTGCTCCTCACGGACCTGCAGGGACAACCAGCCGGTATAAGACAGAAGAACAAACAAAGGCCGGATGGAGGTTAGCTCCCCAAGCCAGCCCTTCCTCAAATGCTGCCACCATCTTATCCTCCCAAATGTTCCCGCAAACACTGAAGGCCATGTCACACAAGCCTAAACACCCACCCTGTGCCTGCTTCCCCGTACCGGTCACGGTCACGCCTCTCGCTATCACGGGAAGCCGACCCTCGGTGACTGCGCTCAGAATCCCGGTAGGAAGGTGTGGGGGAAGGGGACTCCCACTGGGAGCGGCGTGAGCTGCTGTAGCCACTGTCCTCTTCTTCCCAGTTGGAGCGGGAAGGTGTCGCTGCATCTAGACATGAGGGGGGAAAAGCTGTAGTTTTAGCAAGGCCGATGCTTTTCCCCATCTGCCACAGCACACGACTCCCTTAATTGTTACACACCCACCCAAAACATAAGAAAGTACACCAAATATTTCCTGTGATTAAACTAAACCCGGCAGCAACTTGATCCACAGGGTCCCTTCCAGCTCTGTAGTTCTAAGATGATGATAATGATCGTTGCCGTCATTGTTTTATTGTTATTGTTGTTACTGTTATTATTGCTATTAGTTTTATTTACGTGCTAAGACATTATCATTACCTGACCCTAGGTGTAGGTAAAAACCACTCAATATTAACACCAGCCTCATCGCAAAGCTAATAAGGCCACCAAGTGGGAGCATACCTTTCGGTCGGTGGTGAGGAGACTCTGGTTCATTCTTCCGACTGCTGCTGCCGCTCCTCTCCGAGGAACCCTCCTTCTCCGACCGGCTGCTGCCGCTGCCGCTGCGTCGGCTTCGGTCCCGGTCATCTAAGGGAAACAACTTCTGATCAGTCTCGCCCATACCTGGAGGAATCCTCTGGGAGAAGCCGCCACCGCTGCCTCCCCTCTGGTCAACAACGGGACGCTACCTCGGTCCCGCTTGCGGTCGTGATCCCGGTCCCGGCCGTGGTCCCGCTTGCGCTCTTTCTCCTCCTTGGAGGAGGCGTAGACCCCGTGCTCCCGCCGCTCCCGCTCGCGCTGCCGGCTGCGCTCCCAAAACTCCTCGCTGACTCCTCCGGTGTGGGACGGCGTCTCCACCCGAGCGGACCGGTAGTGCCTAAAGGGGGGGAAGAGGAAAAGAAAAGCAGCTTAGAGTGGGACGGCCTCCCTCCCGCGCCCTTCTTGCCAGCCAGCCAGAGAGAAAGAAGAAATGGCTTTTCGCAGGGATGGCGACTCAAGTCAAGGGCCTCGCTATCAAGTTAGCCTTGACTCCCCTGGGCTTTTCTTCTTCCCCTCAACGACCAGGCGACTGGGAACCCGAACCCTCCCCTTTCTCTAGGGGGAAAAAACGCTTTTAAATTGGGACTCGC